TGAGAAAAATCAGCAGAGCTAATTAGATAACAGCAAAGCAGCTGGGAATTATTGATCACCATCAGGGACAGGAATAAAAGCAGAGGTGCGATTGGAAAAAGCGCCTGCTGAGGGGCAAACTGAAAACGAGGGTGCTGGTGTGACTCCAGCAGTTGGTGGTGCTGGTGAACAGCTGATGCCCGAGGCCCTGGACACGGAACCCATTGCTGCTCCAGCTGCTGCTGAGGACCAGGGTGCTGTGCCAGTGGAGGAACCCGCCGATGCCCAGGCTGCTGGTGCTGCTGAGGAAGAGGTTGCAGTTGGGTCAGGAGAAGCTGCTGCTGGTGGTGGTGCTGTTTCCACTGGAGAGGATGCTGCTGATGGTCAAGCACTGATGCCTGAAGGTCAGAAAGAACCTATCAAGATTTCTTTAAAAATTGCATACTGTAAACAATTTTTATTTAGAAAACTTCTATTTAAATGTTTTATGTTACAAAATTCCAAGAATCAGCTGTCAAATACCAAATTCAGCACAACAGCTGCATCCAGCCACAAACATCACAGACAACTTTAATTATATCAAGGCCGGTGAGCCTTGCCAAAATCCTGTTTGGTGAGACTCACTGCCCAGCAAATAATTTGGCCATTTCAACCTGCATTGCAACTCCATTGCCAAGCCGTTTTGACCCAAATGTTGGGCTATAATGGCCATTTGGTCACTGTCAAATGGCTGGGGGAGCAGTTGTTCCCTGGGACATTCTGAAATGCATGTCAGCATGCATTGCCAACAACCTCTGTTTCCCAGCGTATGTGCCCAACCACCCCCACCCACCCTCTGAATTACTGTTGTACAATGCATTCAGAAACCCATTGCACACCCATTCTGAAAATGACCCCAGGTATACATCACTCCATATGGGCCTCACCCAAGGCCAAGAAGTGCTCATCAATTCTTGGATTGCACTAAAATTGGCCAATCATGAGCCAGTGCAAGCACCTGGGTATAAAAACCCTCCTTCCTCTTTGAGAGGAGAAGTGGGAAGCTGTAGCGTTAAAGGACCTTTAACAGTAATATTAAATCAATCAATTCTCTGAGCAATAACCGTCCAATTCTGAAACCATTCAATAATCGCCACCAAATCATTCAGCCATTTCTTTAACATTCTAATGATAATCTGGGCAACAAGAAGGCACTCCTCTGAAAAAGAGTTTGTCAATAAGACTTGCACCCTGATGGCTGCAAAATTCACTTCCTTTGTCAGGGATCCAATGGAACCAGCATAACACCAGCCACTCTTGAAAGGGTGCTGGTGAAGCGCTGATGCTGCCTGAAAGTCAGAAAAAAATCATGAGATTTTTTTTTATAAATTTCCTAATGTAAACAAAAACAATTTGAGATAACTTCCAACAATTTCTCAAATGAGGCAAATTGAAAAGTCAGCCAATCTTGCTCAAGAGCTGATGCCTGAAGGTTTAAAAAAATCACTAGATTTCTTGCTGCAGTATACTTTGTAATGTGTCACCAAAAAAATTATGTTACAGCATATGCTTTTTCAAATATGAAAATAGAACTTTCCGAAAAAATCTGAATTTTACTGCTGATTTTGAGCGTTTTAATTCAACATCAATTTTTCTCAAGTCCTGTTTCAAAGGAATGCTATTTTAGCGTTCGATTGCAAAAAAATAAATGAAAACATGAACGCATTTCATGATGGAGGACGACCATTATCGTTACATCTGAATCATTCCAAATTGTTGGCTATAGAGAGGGTTCCCCTCTGAAATTCTTTGCGTTAAAAAAAAAGAAGATGACTTTCTTAAATATTTCGAACTATCGCAGATTTTAGAGCTTGCTGTCTCGACTCCCGAAGAAAAATGAAATTCTTCTTGCTTCGAAGAAAAGCAGCTATAATTTCTGATGACATGCAAAATTTGAAAACGTGAACTCATTCTTAAAATTGGTATATGTCCTAATTTTTCAAAGGTGAATGAAGAATTATACCCCTATTTTTTGTGAGTTTCTCTACATTCATCATTCTTTTGCAAATCTAAAAAAATTATGTATTATAACAAAACAAAATAGTCTAAAATGATGCAGTACTGAAAATGCAGCTTTTTTCCCCCCTCAAATTTGTATTAATTTATTCATCAGAACCTGCAGCAGATGCTGGAGAAGAACAGCAAGAATCCAACGTGCATCCGGAATTGGCAGACATCGGGTCCCCGGGCGAAGAACACGACACGGTGCAACAACAACAAGGGCCGTCGGATCAGCAACCCATTTTCCGGGCCGAGGGCCTCGACAGTGAAGTCGAAGGTGACGATGACGACGAAGACGAGTCTGGGTCCAGCGAGGGCCGGAAAAAGGGTCGGTTCACTTGCCCACCCCCGACTGTGGCAACGACCACGACGACGCCGGCGAGCACGACGACGACGGCAGCGACATCTACCACCAGTGAGGAAGCCTCTACCAAGAAGTCCAAGTCTCCCAAGCGACGCAGGAGGTAGACCACGAAAATAAAAAAAAAATAAAATTAAAACCCTGCACATATTTCACTCGTCTCTTTTCATTCGTTGTTGTTTAAAATGTACCTGACCTCTACATACTCATGTGAAACTTCTTCATCTAAAAGTCCAGGAAGCTACTTTGAAAAGTTATTCAAGGGTAGATGTCGCCTCATTAAAATTCGATAATATAGTTTTTGAGTTATTCTTCACAAGCATAAAGCAAAATAATTCCTTGAAACTAGGGCCAAACTTTGTAAAGCTTTCCTGAGAATTCTGAGCAGATTTCCTTGAAATACATTTCAGACAGGTGTCGCCTCTTTCCACAGTTTTAGAGAATTTACTTGAACATAATGCATCTACAGCCCTTAACGAAATTATCATTTTTTCTCAGGATATTTTCCGAAAATTCATTGTTACGGTGTTGAAAAGCATAAAAATTTTTTTTAGAAAAATTTAAATTGATGCCTATCACTCATTGTGAGAAACAGAATCACATTGGATGTGTTCATCATCCTCATTTTTCAAATGTTCTCATCTTCAGGTTCTACTGAAAGTTTTGCGTCTATTCTATAGGTTTTCTGTATACAGTATAATCAGCTTTTGAAAATGGATTATTTTTTTGACATGTTCAAAAGCGTTTAGAATAGGATTACAATTTCAATAGTGTCAAAATGCATTTCGAAGGGATAACTAAAACATCGTAACTGAAATAAAATTTTCATAATCCCCTATCTTTCCTAACCAACCGTCATTTTAATTCTAGATAAAAAAAGAAAGAAGTTTAAAATTATAGAAGTGATCATTTCTTGCTGAAATTATAATTAATACACCGCTGGTTATGATGCTCAAGCGCTAACCTTCTTTTTGGATATTCCATGGGTACCCACTCTTCAAATTCCTGTCGTTTCAAATAAAGTTTTTGTGGGAAAAACTGGAATTTGTTGATTGATTGATTGAGTGAATTAGCCGCGAATTTTTTTGTAATGTTGGGGGTCACAGAGACGAGAAAAACTGGCCCAAAAATCCCAAACATATAATTTTTAAAACTTGAGGCAGTGTAGCATCATACAATTTATGAAATGTTGCATGGGACTTGGATTTTTCTGAGCTACCACGACATCACCTTTTTTCATAAAAAGTAATAATCATTAATAATTATAAGAGTAAAAATCACAGCGTTCATGTATAACACCGTTTCATTTTGATTTTAAATCGTAACTCATGTTCCGAATGTGGTACAAAAATTCCAAGTGCTGCAGAAATTGTCTCCAAAATAGGATGATGAAAATCTCTTTCAGATACAGAAAAATCTTGTTACAAAAATATTCTTTATTTCAAAGTATTACTTGCAACACATTAATTTTCGGGTACCTGCCCAGGATGTAATTTCAATTTCTTTATTTTTTGAAAGATAATTTTTTTTATGGTCAGCATTAAGGTTTTACAATAGCAAGGTTTTACTGCATTCAAATTACCGCAAAAAGAGAAAAAGGCATATTTCGAAGCAAAACATCATAACTGCAGTATAATTTTATAAAAAAAAATATCAGTATTAAAAATGTTTTCTTGCGAAAAAAAATCCAGGTCCCTGCCCAAAGTCATTTGCATTTTTTCAAAACATTTTTTGTCGTGGTAACTAAGCTTTTCCAAGTCCTGGTGGCTATTTCATTTTAAAACCATTCCGACATATATAAGTTTCAGACAAATATGTCACTCCAATAAAAAAAATCGCAGTGACGAGGAAATTCTTGAAGATGATCCGCGTAGTCTCAGAGGTTTTCTCCGCTCAGAAAATTCCAAGGATTCTTCCACACCTGAAAAAAAAACGAATAAAGCCACACACACAATTTTTTTTTTGCTTAAAAAGAGGGAAAAAGAAAGAAAAAAAACGTTGGTTTTGCCACAGAGATACGAGCGACGCGAACATCGGGCTGAAACGCGAGAAAGACGCTCTCCGATACGCTCTCGAGATCAAGGTTGCCATCCCGCCCAAGATTTCCAGGGCTCTGCAAATTCACCACAAGCTGAAAAAGTTCCAGCAATACATGCGCCTGCAGGATGCAGCGTCCTTGAAAGGGCGCCTCGGTGCCGCCGTTGATCCGGACGCCGTCGCGACGCCGTCGCCGGCCAAGTGGCCCGAAGCCCTACCAATTGGCTCTTTCCAACCCGTGCCACACGCCGTCTAGAAAAAAAAAAAAAGAGAGGCCTCTGTAACTTCTGCATTCTAAATATTCTTGTTCTCCTTTTTTTGTTTTTAAAACGCCATCTTTCTCGACTATATATAAATGCAGAAATTTGAGCCTGTGACTGGAGCTTGTTTTGGTTGCTGGATTAAAGCATGGATTTTTTCTTCTCTGAGCAAGACCTTCAGCATTCATTTCGGCCACTTCCTTATATTCCTTCTATTAATTCCATCAAGCAAAATAAGCTCTAGTCTAGTTGTTCAGCAGAGTATAACCCTAGTTTTAGTGTACTTACACAACTTATACAGAATACTTGAAAGATTCTGGATTTCCAGAAAAAGGCAGATTGTTGCTTCAATGAAATATATATAAAAAACTAAAGCAGCCAACAAGGAATTTCATATACACCAAAATCACATAAATCTAATCCCAAAGCGACTTCTACAAAAAGGAAATGTTCATCATGACAAAAACCATACATATATGTTAAAACAAAACTCATATGATTATATACAACACACTGGTAGGACCTAAAAAACGAATTCATTCTCACTAATAATTTGTTGTAATCGGATTCTATTGTTGTTCAGCAGAACTATAGCTTTAGTAAACTTGCATGATTTACACACCATTTATTGAAAGATTCTGAATTCCTGAAAAAGGCAGATTGTTGCTTCCCTGAAATATGAAAAATAACAACAAGGAATTTCATATCCACCAAAATCACATTAATCTAATTTTAAAGCAACTTTTACAAATAAAAAAATCATCATGACAATAAACCATACATATATGTTAAAACAAAACTGATATGGTTACACAACACAATGGTATAGCACCTAAAAAATGAAATCATTCTAGCTATAATAATTTTTTGCAATCGGATTCTATTGTTGTTCAGCAGAACTATAGTTGTAGTGAACTTACCTGACTTACAAACCATTTGAAAGATTCTGAATTCCTGAAAAAGGCAGCTTTATTTTTTCTTCACTGAAATAAATAAAAAACACCAAATCAGCCAGCAAGGAATTTCATTTCCACCAAAATCACAAAAATGTAATCCTTATAATGACTTTTAGAACTAAAAAAAATTCATAATGACAATAAACCAAATACCTTGTGTTAAACTGTTAAAGCAAAACTCATATGATTAAACAAAACACTTGTAGGGCCTGAAAAATGAATTAATTCTGACTAATAATTTGTTGTACTGTATTCGGATACTATTGCACATAGAATGTTCCAAAAAGACGGGGTTTGAAAATAATTAAGTAGTCCTCAGAACAGTTACATAATTCGCGGAAAACGTTTAAAATGTCACACATCAAATCCTTCAAGTTTTTTCACAAGTAATTCAATCTTTTGACAATCATCTTGTACAGAGTTTATATGTCACCTTCATTCTTATACATTTCTGCCAATGATTTTCAGTTTTTTGTGGCTGCGATTTGAAGAAAAGATTGTAAAAGATGCTTGTGACATTTTAAAATCCGCCCCACTTCCAAGATTCAGACAGAAAGGAAAGAAAATATAACTTTATACAGTATAAGTGCAGAAACAATTGTAAAAGCTGCAGACAACAGGCAAGTTTCCAGGATTTTAAAAAACACTAATTTATTGGAAAATACTATTCCTTAACTTATATTCATATAAAAGGGGGTTTCAAAAAAATAAATTTGTAAAACCTGAAGTCAATTGGAATGTGTCTTTCAAACAGATCAAAAACAAAATGCATACACATAATCATTTTTTAAGGTTTGAAAAATTATTCCTGGGTTAACAAAGGGTTAAAAAGCATGAGTCAGAAATTAATCATTTGTGATGGAACCTTGATGTGATACAGTTTTAATGACATAAGTAAGTTGAATAAGACATTCTGAAAAAAATACATTTTTGACAAGAAACAATCTCAAGTCACACAGATTCATGAAAGAGTTATATACTGTTTCTCAAATCTTGTCCTCAGCCCCCTCAATTATGACCCAATATTTGGATTTGAATGATTTCTATCAATGTCAACACATAATCATTCCTTGCTGGTCTCCAACACAATCAGTGTTATGACAGAAGAACAAAGATGGGTCACCCCTAAAATAATTTTTTTGGGTTATTATTAAACCTTGGTGAAGCTGATGAACTCACTGATGCTGAGGGCAGTTGCCTCGCTTTGGTTGAAGGGCATCTTTTGGATTCATTCCCTTTCATTTTATGATGCATGGATGTAAAATAACTTCATCCTCATTCTTTTTGAATGAAAAAAGGGAAGCGGAAAAAGTTGACCTGGTCTTTCCCAAGCTCTGGGTTTTCCCCAACTGGGCCACATCAAGAGCACATAAAAGCGATATAACCTTTTGGATTGAATGCAAGCATTTTTATATCTCTTATACATGATCTCTAAGAAGTAAGAACACACTACAGTAGTATGAATAAGCACAGTTCTGAATTTGCAAGTCCAATCCCAAGAATGAAACATACTCACAAGAAAATGTATGTCTGTTTTCCCTTGTCAAGCTGTTTTTTTTTCTCATGTTAGTTAGTTATTAGTCATTTTAAAACTTATTCTGGATCTTTTTTTTCCCTGATTTCATTCATTCAAAGACTGAAAAACTTGAAATCCAGAAAAAACAGCTTGGCAAGGAACCCAATTAAATGCTTACAGTTCAGGGACAAAAGAGACACAAAAAAGATGGAAAAGAATAATAAAATAAAACTGAACATGCTAAACATATGCTGCATACATCCACCCATCCCCAATATTGAAGAAAAAGCAGCAGTAAAAGTAACAAATTCAGTCTTTTACATACTATTTTTGTGGCTCTTTTGTCCCTGATGTGAAAGTAGTTTGTTTTACTTGTCAAATTGTATTTTCTTGATTTTACTCTTTTGCCTTTGATCTACAATTGTCTCAGCCTTTCACCTTTTCAAAACAAGTGCTAAACTTCAAAGCATTTAGCATATGGTAATTCTTGAGTTTTGCTGTGTTTTTCAAGTCAGAAAAGAAGTCGTATCTTCTCAGTAAGACTTCATATATTCCACTAAAAGAGACATATTTTTTTCGCTTAGTTTTGTTTGCAGAAGGTAAAAATGACTGAGACTTCCTTGATCTTTTCAATAACCCCTAAAACAGACAATTGCGTCACTATAGGAAATCCAGTGAAACGCGGTGCTTCAGACGTCCTGGTTCTTTAATCTATTGGAACATTTCCTGCTTCTCTTGAAAGGAAAAAAAAGATCAAGGATTGCTGAGTCATTTACCTTAGAGGAAAGTTAGTTGAGCAGAAAGCCCTGGCAAGGATGGTGTCACTTGAAAAAAAGACATTGAAGATATTCTTAATCCAGCCAGGGTCAAGTTGGGAATTTTGAGACTTCAGTTTGAAATTTAGCAAAAAGAGTGTTTATGCATGGTCATTGTTATGATGACTCTGGCCTGTGCTTTTATTGTGTAGGGGAACATTTGCCTTGCAGTGATTATAGTCCATTTCCTTATTTTAGATCAAATGATCTCATGCTTTTGTTTTTTTTTTCAGTCATCATATGTACCTTATATGAGCAATAAATTATGGAAGCTGGAGCTGGAGACATTTTTGATGCAACAGAATCTTGTCACAGTGACAAATTGTATTATGAAAAAAACTATTGCTTGCAACAAATTTTCAAGTTAAGTCCCTGTCCAATGGGCACCTTGTTTTTGAATTTTCAAACTAGATTTTGGCTAATGTTTTTCTTGACAACATTGGCTTTGTTTTAATAAGATTTTGAAGTAAAGACAGCCATTTTCTGGACAAGTACATTGAATTAACGAAATGTATGTATTTACTCAAGGAAAAGAACCTTTCTGTGTGTCGAGGAAATATTTTTGATGGCCAAATCACAGTGGAACCCAGCAAGCAGCCACCATAAATTCATTTAGTACATGAGGATGTGGGAAATTTCTGGGATAAAAGACACTTGCTTCCTATATAGAATTTGATGAAAATTTCACGAATTCATCTTTCAAATGCTCCAAACAATAGAAAGAATACTCAGAAAGTTTCAAAAGTATGTGCTTGAATGGCACTAACTCCAGAATGCAAAAGTTGAAAAAGAGAAAAGCCCTATTTTTAGGGGAATTAATTCAAAAAAAATAACCAACTCAAATTAAAGACAGTATTATGACCAAAAACTTAAACATTTTAATTTTCCAAGGCTCTATCCCTTCTGGTCCATGGTTTGTAAATGTTTAAAAATGCAACCTTCACTATATTTTGCATAAATATAGTAGAAAATGGAACCAATGAGCACAAGAACATCTGATTCATTCAATATACTTGAAAGCGTTTATAGTTCTGTGTGGCCAAGGCAAAATTCCGAATGTCAAAGCAATTTCCAGAAGAATAAGCCTTGCCTTGCATACCAAAAATATGTTTTTCCTTCAAATATAAATAAAATAAAATAATAAAAAGAAAGCACCTGTTACGTGTTGTCTAGTAACAAATAAAAATGTTGCCTATACTAATGTTCTCGGATCTTGACCCTGGCCCCATCTGCAACACAGCGTTGAAAAGGTAGGGGGGGGGGAGGAGGAGGAAAGGTGGGCTTTCCTTCAATGGAGGCTCAGTTATAAAGAAAGAAAAACACAGCACTCCACAACCTGGGCCTTGAAACAGCTTCCATCCAGCCCATGACCTTATAGTGGCTGGTGGGAGTTGTTGCATCACCCTCAGCCAGCTTGACTCATGGAGTATGGGTGTTGGGAGGGAGACAGGGGGGCTGTTCAAATCAGCGCTGATCAACTCAGCGCTGATCAACTCAGCGCTGATCAACTCAGCGCTGATCAACTCAGTGCTGATCAACTCAGCGCTGATCAACTCAGGGCTGATCAACTCAGTGCTGATCAACTCAGCGCTGTTCAAATCAGCGCTGATCAACTCGTCAGGGCTGATCAACTCAGCACTGAGCAAATCATTGCCAACAAACTCAGCACCAACTGCCTTGCCTCTATCAAACAAGTATTTTACAGTGATGCCCCATAATGCAGACACCCTGACATATGGACAATTCAACTTGGGGACACTTGAAGTTTGAAAAAATCTGATCCAACATCTGAACAATAACTGAACTTCCGGATGTTTTCCCAAAATTTCTGGAAACATTTCTACTTTTTTTTCTAAAACTTCATATTTGTTGAAGAAATTGAGTTTA